TGAAAATGTTTGTTCAGTTTTTCTGCCAGGTGAGAGAGTGTTTATAATCTCAGCAGGATGTCCCTCTAGGGGAATAGACCTCCCCTCCCCTGGGGTTCTCACACATGGGGTGAGATAATAGGTCCTCAGTTCACTGCTCGCCTGTAGAAAACTTACAGGAGCAGATGAAGAGAAAACAAGAGAAAATCACAACTTTCTTGGGGTAGGGGACAGACACTTTTCCTTTGGGATGTATTAAGTATCTGTAAATTGCTTTCTTGGAGTCTCAACTTGCCTCAGCAAAGGTATCCTGTAGATATCACTCTTCTCTCTTGGCTGGGCTCTCAATCTTCAACTTTATTGGGTATTTTCCGGACATTATCCTTCCCTCTGGATGGAGCTTCTGTTGAAGACTGGCACCTGTTGATCATCTTGACCCTCCCCCCTGACCAAAACATTTCTTTCTCTGAGGCTCATATTCCTAGATGTTTCACATCACTGATACAACTAAAGCCTGGAATTTGCTTCATTCTTCCAAGGGGAAGACCACATTCAAAGTTAAGACCCTGGTCTGTGACTCAGATAAGGACTCCAGGATCTATGGGTTGTGATCTTTATAAAGGGACATCCCTTAATGCTGAATAAGGACCACACCTGCCAAGGCTGGAGACAGAGCAGTTTGACCGAGTCCACATGTGATTGTCACACTTTATCATCATAGAAGCTGGAAGCTGGAGCCACTTTTACCATGAGACATTTTATTTCTGTGACCTGTATAGATTTAGCAGAGTTCATTGAAACCCATTGAAATTTTTAGAAGATCTATACATTTAAAAACTCTATCACCAGTTTTATTTAAAGATACAAAATCAAACCCCTAATTAAAATGTAAGGTAGTCAACTTTTGATGTCTTTTGCTAAAGGTGCTTGAAAAGCCAGTCAGTTCTTTCAAAGGTAACATGAAATAGAAGAGAAAGATAACAAAACATAAAAAGCTGATTTTGTTTAACATAATGTCCTCCAGGTTCAACCATGTTGTTGTGTATTAAAGAATTTCTCTTTCCATTGTATATAGTGCATTTTTTATCCATTTGTCTGTCAGTGAACATTTAGGTTGCTGTTAGCAATTATAGATAATGCTGCAATGAACATGGGAGTACTAATGTCTCTTCAAGGTACTGATTTCCATTCTTTTGCATGAATACCTAGAAGTAGGACTCCTGGGTCATCCAGAAGTCCTAATTTTTTTTTTTTTTGGCAGTTTTTGGCCAGGGCTGGGTTTGAACCTGCCACCTCCTGCATATGGGGCTGGCACCCTACTCCTTTGAACCGCAGGTGCCACCCATAGAAATCCTATTTTTAATTTTTCAAGGACCCGCGTACTGTTTTAGTATAGCAGCTATGCTATTCTGCATTCCTACCAATACAGGAATTCCAATTTTTCTGCTTCCTCACAGACTCTTGGTACCTTTTGTGCTTTTTACAATGAACATCATGAGAGCTATTAGGTGGTATCTCATTGTGGTTTTGATTTGTATTCCTCTGATGATTAGTGATATTGGGTTCCTTTTTATGGAGCTACTGGCCATTCATATGTCTTCTTTGGAGAAATGTCCATTTAAATCTTTAGCCCATTTTTAAAATTGGGTTATTAGTTCTTTTGCTATTGAATTAGAGGAGTTTCCTATATATTTTGGAAGTTAGCCCCTTACATCATGCTAAATGAAATAAACCAGTCACATAAGGAAAAATACTGCATGATTCTGGTTATATGAGGAATCTAAAACAGTCAAATTCATAGACATAAAGAGACAGGCAGTTGCCATGAGCTAGGGGAGGGAGAAATATGGTCAGTGGGCATCAAGTTTCAGTTAAGCATGAAGAGTAAGTTCTAGAGATCTGCTGTACAACACTGTAACTATAGTTAATACTGCATTGTAGACTTAAAAATTTAAGAGGTTACATCTCATATTAAGTGTTCTTATTCTTGCCACCATAAAATAAATTTAAAAATATAAATTGAACCTCAAAAAAAAAAAATTCAAGGACCTCACCTAATGTGCATGATGCAATGGTACATTTCAAAACTATTAAGAAATGAGTATAATTGTGATGGATGTGTTACTTAGTTCAATGTAAGCATTTCACATTGTATATCAAAGCAGTTCCCTGAACCCCTTAAATGTATCAATGTACAAAGTTACGATTTAATAAAAAAGTAATAAAAAGCATACTGAGAGTAAAAGCAAAAACAATGTATTTCGTGTATAAAGGAGGAACTCATTTAAGAAAAAAACCTTTTATTTGTAACAGAATTTTTTTTAAAGCTGAATGGGGCTCGGTGCCTGTGGCTCAAGCGGCTAAGGTGCCAGCCACATACACCTAAGGTGGCGGGTTTGAATCCCCAGCCCGGGCCCGCCAAACAACAATGATGGCTGCAACCAAAAAATGACCAGGCGTTGTGGCAGGCGCCTGTGGTCCCAGCTACTTGGGAGGCAGAGGCAGGAGACTCGCTTGAGCCCAGGAGTTGGAGGTTGCTGTGAGCTGTGATGCCATGGCACTCTACCCAGGGGGATAGCTTGAGGCTCCATCTCAAAAAAAAAAAAAAGCTGAATGGAAATTGCTTTCTTATGTACTTGTATGATAAAGAAACATTTTCTACTATTCACCCCTCCAAAAAGTAAAAAGCTAAGTAATTGTGTTGAAAAATAGGACTTATACTTTATTCAGCAAAGTAACCCTTGAGAATATATTTAAAGTATTCTTATTGGTCAAGGTTTACCTGTTAATTTTGAGGGTCTTCCTTCTACCCCAAAAGGATGGATCGCTGACATCTAGGCAGCAGGAGATTGAGTCTAATTAGAGGTAGTTTTCACTGTTCTGCCACTGTCCTAAATGAACAAGCTTGTCATGAATATGGTTTCTCTCATTGGGGGGGCACTTTTGTCATTATTACACAGATAATCCATTTGATAAATATTTACCCAGTGCTCGGTGTGTGCCAGGTCTGGCTAGAGCAGCTGCCCTGGGGGAACCAGGTGAGTTGAAAGAAACCACAGAAGCTCTTTTCTGACATGATAGTAGTAGTCAGTCAGTTGACCAATTAACAAAAAAAAATGGTTCAAGTGGAAAAACAAGAAATTATACTTAGGTGCTTTAAACATTTGGTTTAACTTAAGGTATGAAAATAATAGTTTTTTTCCACCAATTTTATGTAGGAAGGGGAAAGCGTTTTCTTGGAAGGTGAGTGTCTGCCAATAGGACTTCCATCTCACCTTCCTCGCACAAAGCAAACCTATAACGACTGCTTGAATCCAGTTTCATATCTGTACATGCATGTGTATACCAGCGGGAACACAAAAGATGCCTATGAAGCAGTGTGGGAGCAAATTTTTACGATTTGTTCCTCATCATGCAGTTGTCCTGTGTACACCTAATTTGACAAGATTTGTGTTAGCTTCTAGCTAAATCAGCTTGCATAAAAACAGTTTTGCCTTTGTCCTCATATTTTACTGTTAATGCAACATATAACCACACATATGAGTTGAAATAACATATATTGCTGATGTCGGTCAGTTTGAGAATAAATACACTTGACCCTTGGTTATTGTGCCCTCCTCATGGATGGGAGCAGACACAGGAAGGTGACCAGAGTGCAAAAGTTCCAGGACACCCAAGGATTGGGCTGTGTGCCTTTCAAATGATGTGGAGGGTTCAGCTGATCCAGTTCCACATGGGGATTGGCCAAGGATCATCTCTGTAGGTCAGGGCCCAGGTGGCCTGCAGGGTGCACAGGGAAGACTGGATGGGCCTGTCTTAGGGGGATAGCAGCAGCAAGCAGCAAGCAGAAGAGTGGATGAGTTGCTCCTAGGTGCAGTAGGCAAACCAGGAAAAGGCGGTTCCAAGGAAGCATTTAGAGCTTCTCTTCAAATTATTTCCATCTGTGTTCTTCTCTTCTCCAGTCTGGCAGTGACAATAGGTCAGGGATGCTCTCTTGTATACCATTAGATGTTTTCCTTTGATCTATTACCTGGCATGGATATTTTTAAATGAATGAAATTGGATGTATTTTCCCCCCTCTAGTATTGTTAACAAAGAATGAACATCTTTATTATGTCCAAAATCTCTCCTGGAAATTACAGGTCAGCAAAAGATGTCTTCACATCTTTTGTATCTCTGCTTACCCCAATGAGGGCATGTGTATAAACTGAAATCATTGTTCCATTCATGGTGTGTGGCCAGCTACCCATGTTTAGATAGGCATCTTGATGTGTCTCCAGTACACCAAGACCAGAGGTGGGGTGGGAAGAGGACAGGTATGATCTTGTTGGACCCAGGTATGATACTGTGGAAGATAGAAAAGCTATAATTTTTCATGAGTTTTAAGACTTGAATACAGGACATTCTAAAATCTTAGATGGTCCCTCCTGGCTTAAAATTCTGACTTCTATCTAAGGCACTGGTTCTCAACCTTCCTAATGCTGTGACCCTTTAATACACATCCTCATGTTAAGGTGACCCCCAACCATAAAATTATTTTCATTGCTACTGTTATGAATCGTAATATAAATATCTGATATGCAGGAGACCCCCAAAGGAGTCGCGACCCACAAGTTGAGAACCACTGTTCTAAGGGACAAAAACACTAAGACCATTAACATTGGGATATTTAGTATGAAAAAGTAAGTCTAATCATCAGAAGCTTGAGGTTTAAGAAATATAACATCACAGTGAATTATCATAGTTAATATAATTGTGTGTTCACTTATTACTTAGTGAATGTTGTTAGTGGCGATTATTTGCTCAACTGATCTTCATTCATTAGGTAAGCAAATCTTCACCCTCTGTTTCTCTGCGAACTCATGCCCATCGGTCTGCACTATGAGGACTGGCATCACCCTGTGTCACCCTTTATATTTAAGACTTGGTTTATGCTAGCATGATATGCTAGTACCTGCAGCTGAAAGTTAAGCACCTGGAGCTTAAGTGTCCCTCTGTCCTCTCTCCTTCTCCTTGCACAGTTTGGGGATGAACCATGATGACGACCACTCAACCTGCGCTGGCAGGTCCCACATCATGTCAGGAGAGTGGGTGAAAGGCCGGAACCCCAGTGACCTCTCTTGGTCTTCCTGCAGTCGAGACGACCTCGAAAACTTCCTCAAGTGAGTCCTTGAATCATTCTATAGAATCAGTACAACAGAAAGTACTTCCAAAAGACAGAATTAAGCATAAAAAGGAGAAATACATCTTTTTTCTGAATTCTTGGCTGGCCTGAAGAGGCAGTAGGGCAGCGTCTCCTGGAACTGGCAAGAGCATCCTCCCTTGAGTGCATCTATGGTGACGTGCTATTCCCTTGAGAAGACAGGAAGTCTACTGGGGGGGAGGGGGTAGGTTTCCTCTCCTCCCTCACACATGGGGAAGGAGTATGTTAATTTCACTGCTACTTCCTTCCCACACAGTGTCTGCACCATTCCAGTCTCAGATTTTTGTGTAAAAATTGGCCATCTGGTTTCACACCTTTGTCAATTGGAATCTGTTACCCAGACACAATGCAGATCAAGACCGCAGAGCTGGCCAGGCAGGGTAGATCATGCCTGTGATCCCAGCACTCTGGGAGGCTGAGGGGGAGTGGATTTCTTGAGTTCATGAGCTCAAGACCAGCCTGAGCAAGAGCGAGACCTCATCTCTACTAAAAATAGAAAAACTTGCCAGGCATTGTGGCACATGCTTGCAGTTCCAGCTATTTGGGATGGCGAGGCAAGAGAATCTCTTGATCCCAAGAGTTTGAGGTTGCTGTGGGCTGTGATGCCATTGCACTCAACCCAGGGTGACAAAGTGAGACTGTGTCTTCAAAAAAAAAAGACCTCCAAGGTATATGGTATTGATGTGCAGACCCTGATCACTACTTAGCTGTAACAGTGCATCAGTGCATGTACCCTATGGAGATGGCAGTGAGCCAATGAGTCTCACCTACATGTGGGGCTTTGTGGTCCAGTAGCACATTCAAGTTCCCAGGGGATTCAGGGTAAAGTGGAAAGGTGTTATTCTAGGTCTTCATTTATGATGTTTCCTGTTGATGGGAAAATCATTTCATTGGCTTAGAAATGAACTCATTCCTTTTAATATAGTCTACTTCCCACTGAGGATTTGTTATCACCAAATCTCAGTAAATTGTTTTAAGTGCCTTGATATTATATCACTTTATCCAGGAGGTTTCAGCACAGCGAGACAGGGTATTGTCATTGGCTCAACTACTGGTGACAAGCAATGCATGTCTGAGCCTGGGAAAGTTGAGCCAGCATCCACCTGTGTGCACCTGCAACCGTGTCCCTAAAAAATCTTGGCGAGTGGCTGGGTTTTCTTTTTATAGCATTTCTACCTTGTTTTAGGGATTGAAAAATAAAAGCCTTTAGGTATGTAACCTCCTGACAGAGGCAGAGCCTCATGGTCCCCAGCTCAGTGCTTTGGAGACATACCTCTCCCTGTAAATGAATGTTCCCATCCTGGTTGAAATTCTGAAGTCCTTGGCAGGGATGCCATTGGCCAGCTTCAGTGGTGGCAGGGAGAATTGTCAGGCAAGAACCTCCCAAGTCCGGTGAATCTGCTGAGGTCCAAAAGCACATGAAGAGCATCATAGAGTTGGAATGAGAAATTTGACTTTATTTAAAGTCAAATGTCCCTAACTTGTACTTTTTCTTTATTCTTAGTAACTTTTGCTTAAAGCCATATTCTTTTTTTTTAAAGCCATATTCTAAAAAAAAATCATAAGAATCTATTTCAAGAGGATTTACATCAAAGAAAGCTTTAAAGCTCCCCAAGAAACATCTATTTGCCTCGCAGCATCACTGCCAGATCCCTCCCAAGTCTTTAGGCTCTCGTGGCCTTCAGAGCAAAGATCTGCGCCCAGCCATGTGGAAAAGACCACAACCCGTGTGTCTAGTGCCTTCATCCTTTAATCAGGAATAATTTGGAGCTGCATCTTTTTTGGTGACGAAAAAACAAAAACCTAGGCAGCGTATTTGCAAACCACCTGTTTCTTGGCTGTTTCAGATCAAAAGTCAGCACCTGCTTGCTGGTCACAGATCCCAGGAGCCAGCACATGGTGCGCCTCCCACACAAGCTGCCAGGCATGCACTACAGCGCCAACGAGCAATGCCAGATCCTGTTCGGCACCAACGCCACCTTCTGCAGAAACATGGAGGTGAGCAGCCGTGGAGGGCCAGCTCAGGGCGGGTGTGGGCCCAGCCCTTGCCCAGCCCTCCCCCAGTAGGATGCAGATCTTTGTACTCACATGTACATAGATGCACGTCTGTGGTTGCACATTCACATACACAGATGCACCCCTACACACCCGCACAGGCATTTGCTCTTAGGTCCCCCAGGCAGCCATGTGCTCACCCATACCCACACTTGCAATTGTATGCCCCTGTCCACATTCAGGCAGTTTGCAGGGGATACGTCAGCCTCAGGACATGAGACAAAAGCAATTAACTCACACTTGGAAGTGATAAAATGTCACTTCCAACCCTGCACAGATAAGCTAAAAACTGTTAAATCATTGAGAAAATTTAACAAGTAGTCAATTGATTATATGCTAATAATCCCAGCTCCGCCTGATCACGTAGCCCCAGTGTGTTCTTGGTGTTTCCAGGGAGAGAGAAGAAGGCTCTTCTAATGCATGCCAGACTTGCCCACCATGGCTCTCTGTTCCTAGGAGTGTGACATCTTCAGAGAACAAAGTATATATATATGCTAATAGTGATAATAACAACATTAAACAGTTATCATTTATTGAACAGTGCCCTGAATTTGGTTCTAAAACCTCCAACATGCATGGTCCCAGTTAGTTCTCACTGCAGCTTCCCGGATTCTATCCTAGTTGACAGAAGATGACACCAGGGTGGCAGGACAGAGCTAATTTATCTGTGTATCTCCAGAATCGGCATTTCTCCATAGGGAACTCCTGGCAGCTATGGGAAATTAAGGATCATCTAAAACCTGTACTGCTCACGTAGCCAGAGCTAATCACAATGGTCTTTTAATCTGATGCCATAGTTGATCTTTATAGAGATAATCAAAAGAATCGTGATTTTCTTGTTCCATCATTATTCTTTCAGGCCATCGACGATAAAATAGATAATGGTCCCAGAGTTGCTTTTAAATGTCTTATCCCAGCTTTTGCTTTTGGCTAAAATGGACTAACAGGGACCAGATTTATTCTCCTATCTGAAAGAATTAAAAAGAAAACATGAAATGAATGAAACCATGATTTTCAGGATGTTAGATGTCAAGCAATGAAGGCCTATGAAGTGTGAAGTGAATAGGGAAAGCCTCATCCCATGATTATCCTGGCTACTGCCTGGACAGTGTCCAGGCTGCAGGACGGGGCAGGGAGGAGGGAGATGCACAGGAACATCAGACGGTTAGACTGGTGCCTAGAAGAGGCGGAGCCCTCCCTTCTCTCAGGATATTGTGCTTCTCATCAACACACCTTTGTTACTGTATTACAGCAGGCTGGCTTTACTAGGGTGCTTGGATAGATTTAGGAAAATTCATGAACTGGGATAGCAAGAGGATTACACCTTTATTTTTCTCCAACTTCCAATCAAGGTTGGTATTTCCTTCAGTGCTGAATGTTAGCGGTAAACCACAATAGTCTTGGCCATATCATGACTGGTCACTATCATTAGGAATTACAGATATTTTCACACCATAGAAGAGTTGTGGCCGACATTTCCAAATATCATTTAGACTCCCCTCTACTTCAAAATTACAGTCATTATTAGACTCAGGGCCAGATCCTTGTATGAAACATCCTAAGAAACATATATGTGATTATATTACACACTTAAAGTTGTTTTTGTATTTTGAAAGCTATCTTTCAATTGAATCGTTTTCTTGTGATCATGTGTATGTTATATATGGTTATGCATTGACAACATATTTACATGCCTCAGAGCACAGAAAGGCCAGGTGCTTGGTGGAATTTCCAGTACAAACCTTCCTTCTGACCAGACTTCCCTATAGATTCTTCTTCTGGCTCTCACAATTAACAACTATTTTAAGACCAATCAAAATTAAAAACCATTCTTCACCCAGAGGTAACTAACTTTGGAAAAACATTGCTACAGAAGCTTTAGGAATAAGTAGCCTAGGCTTCAGCTATTCACCAGGTTGTTGTTTTCTCAAACATTTGCATTAAGATTAAACAAAATTTTAAAACAGTCCATTTTAATTTTTAGGGCTCTGGAGGCCCCCACATGATCACCATTGAATCTTTCATGTCTGTCTGCAGAATGCTGGTATTGTAAGGCTCAATGCTGTCTATGGAAATATGAACTACAAAAAAAAAAAAATTGGCATCAGAAGCTGGCATTTGTTGTAGAAGTTACTGGCAAATACAGCTGTCTCCTCTTTTAGCCAATGGTAATGTGATGTTTTTAGTTCAATAAAGCATTTGAAGAAAGTCCAAACATAAAAGTTATAAACAGTGGATAGTAAATATTTATTAGAAAAAGGAAATGAACTTTATGCAATTAGCCCAATCAGTCTTTTTTATGATTACAAGTTCCTCCTGTCCCCATCAGCAAAGCCACTGCAATGCAGAGTCACTATTTAATAAGACTTTCAAGCTGTTTGAGTTCAGAAACTCTGCCAGATAAAACAGGGTGAGAAGTCCCAGTGTCCACAATGTGCTTTGTCCGCTGAAAGGAGTGTGGCATTGCTACTGGAGCCAGAGCAAGAAGGGGACATGGTGAGGGCAATGTCCTGACGGCGATCACTGCCTCACACAGCCCCTGACCTTTCTCACATGAAAGTGGTGTGCATCTGCCTTCCTCACCACCGCCCTGCGCCTGGAGGGTCTCAGCTGAAAGGTGCTGTGTAATGACCACCCACCCACATCCTGCCTGCTCCCCAGCAACATGTCCTGCCATCACCGCTCCGAAGCTTGCACCTGGCAGCCACACAGCACTCAGCAGGGGTGTACAGCAGCTGTATTAATTGCCATGAGCACTAATGTCTATGTGTCCTGGAAGTCACAAGGGTCTGAGGTGTCTTCTTTATGATATTTTGTATTTTCCAAACATTAGTGAGCACAGAAACTGTAAGCCAGTTGTTTTAGGAAGATAAGAGTGTCTAGAGTGGTTGTAGGTGTTGGATGGGTCTTATGTGTTCTTCTCTACCTAACATACATTCCTTTATTCTTTTCCATTTACTCTCACTGCCTTTTGGCACAGAGTGGAAGTGCTGTCCATGTCCACAGCAGTGAAGGAGATGGGCTGTCTACTCAAGATGCCAGGGTCCCATCCTGTCTCTGCCTTTTGAACAAATTAATAGTCTCTCTATGCCTCATTCTTCTAATCTACAAAGTGGGGAGATGAATTCTGTCAATATGTACTCATCATGGGGTCATTATGAAAGTGGAGTAATAACTGAATTGAGTGCTTAGTATATAGCACTCACTCAGAAAATGTGAGCTGATGATGTTTCTCTGTCACCTTCTTGCCTGGAGCCAGTGGCAGAAGTGGAGACAGTGTTGAGCTGACAATTGCTTCAGCCGGTCTTCCTTTTCTGCATCTTTTCCTGCACTCTCCTCATCTTTCCTCCTGGTACCCGAGGAGCTTGTCACCCCAGGGATTCCTCTCCAGCTTCCACTCTCTCCCCTTGAGCAAACTCCTAGGACGCAGGCTGGATTGTGTCCTCTCTCAAGTCCTGCGAAGATTTTCACAGGGATCTGGGTGGATAGAGAAATTGCCGTAGTATCCAGGAACCTCAGGATGCCAAAATCCCACCTTGGGACAACAAAGTTCTTTTCTCTGATGCCAGCCGTTTCTAAGCCTGGTGGGTGGTTATAGTCCTCCAGAGACTCTTAGAAGTTATTGCACCGCACCCCCCCCTCCAGATTTTCTGTCTTAAAATCTTCAGGAGGCTGGGTTTCAGGTATCTGTCTTTTTTATACAACTTCCCCGGAGATTCATATACATACTCAGCCTGGTTTGGAAACTGCTGACTTAAATGAAACCTGTCCCTTTCATGCCAGTGGACCTGGCCTGGGTAGGTGGCTGGCTAGGTCCTGGAGCATGGCCCGGCCTCTCTCAGGCAGACAGGACTGTATGGTAGGACGTGGACTTGGACGCCAGGCTGCAGGCCGTCTTCCCTGTCTCAGTCTCAGCTTCCTGCCCAGCATCTGCAGCTGCTCTCCAAAGCTGTTGGACTTTGGCAGCAGATGGCCCTAATTTTCCAGAAGTGTTTAAAAGTTTACAGTAGACTGCCTTGTCAGAGAGGTCTCCAGACCACGCAAGTTGTGTGCTATCTTTCACTTCTTGTCCCCCAACCTGCCAGCTAAATGTCTGGGTGCCTGGGCCTCAACCACAGTATCCACCTCCAGGCCCCTGCCCCAATCCCCAGCCTCAACCTTCAGCCTCAGCCAGGTACTGGTCTCTGCAGCCTTCAGGAGCATGGAAGGAGTGACCCAGCCCAGGGCTCAGGAAACCTTCCAGAAATGGAGCTGGCACGCCTGACTGGGGAAGACTTCAAACCGCAGTAGTGTTTGTGGAAAATTTGGATTAGTCACTTTTTCATCCAGCTCATGGCATTTTGTTCTATCTCCCTTTTGGCTTGTGTTATCAGCAACACATTTTTGAGGGATTTTACATAACCATTCCCTTCAGTATCATGGTGAGTTTGAGCTGCTCTCCAAACCTTCAGTGGGAACCCAGTGAGGAAGAGGCAAAGAATTTCAAAGCAATCTTCTCCATCCTTGACAGGGATACTGCCAGTTGAAGGCAAATGGTAAAGGCTTGAATGCACCAGCGCTCATGCCTTTGAGAAACCCAGACCTTTTCCGCATTTTCACAGTACTCCAGGGAAGGAAGCTTGGCACTGGCTTAACTGTCATACAGCCTCTTGAAGAACTGTGCAGCAAAACCTGTTGGATGTGACTCTTGCCAAACCTTAAATGATGCCAGTGAGGTGACAGATGCTAGCACCAGAAAGCTGGCCTGTTTTTCTTGCAGTCTGCACAGACCAATCTTACTGCTGCAACTCAAGCACTGCCTCTGGTGGCGGGAGTAGGATGAGGGTGGTGGTCTGAGCACCCTGTCCCTGATTTAGCTTAGGTAGCTGCCCTTTTGCATATTTCTACCCCATTTTATTGTGCCACATTTCACTGAAGTTCAAGGTCATGCTGTCCAGTAATGTTTGCAAGTAGGATATTGCAGATGGAGGGAACAGCACATAGCTGAACACAGAGCATTCCGTTCCCAGGCAAATAAGAGAGAGAGGTGAGCATGCAGGCCTGGCCGGCACAGAGAATGCAGGATCACAGGGAAAGGAAGTGACAAGAAGAAATTGGGGATGGAGGCATAGGTCCCAGCTCTGCAGCTTAAAACAGTCACACAACTCCATCCATTGCCTCGGCTGCAAAATGTAAATTATGAGTATCTATCTCACAGGTTGGTGTTAGAAGGACTGAGAGATTCCTGGGCTTGGTAAATGCTAAGTATATCTTGTGTCTCAGCCCTCTGAAGCCTGATGACGCTTTACCAGTAAGGATGTTCATTCATTCATTCATTATGTTTTTATTGAGTATATAGTTGTGTCTTGCAGTTGGCAAATACTGAGGGAGAGTTGCCCCATCCTTTTTGTTTAGATTCTTTTTTTTTTTGGTTTTTATTGTGAGATAATTTTAATTCTTAAAGAAGACTTGCAAAAACCTTTCACCCAA